TATGAATGAGACGATAAGACCGGACACGAAAAGATATTTCAGCTTATAATTCTTATAAGATTATATTGTAGGATTATAAAATATATATACGAGCGTATGAAAGAATGAACGAGAGAATAAGAGAGAATGTCGGAAGGTTTGATGCATGATTGCGGTATGACTGTTTTGAGTAAGTGCGGCATATGGTGAAAAAGAATGCGGTGTGTGATTAAAGTTTTGGAAAATAGCGTAAATGTGTACTTTATTGGGAATCGAAAGTGTGTATTAGAGAATATAAGGAGTGTTTTAAGAAATGAGGACAGTCAGTTTAAAGCGAAGAGGAAGAGCGCTTTTGAGAAGAGAGTGTACTTTGTAGCGTTTTAAGAAGTTAGAGTTTAGAGTGTCATCGAGTTTTTGAGCATTTCGAGGCTTGTGTGAATTTGTTACACTATCATATATTATAGTTAATAAATTGTTATTCTTTCCGTTACCCTTGGCCAATCATTTGTTCCACATTATTGTATAATTTTCTAGGGTCAGCCCGGCCATCATGGTCTTCCCGGAGAACCCGGACCTCGTGGTTATAAAGGTCCACAGGGTTCTAAGGGAGATAAGGGTCAACCAGCGTACGCCGGTGCTTTCCCGGTGGGTCAAAAGGGTGAACCTGGTATGGACGGTGTAAGAGGTCCCCCCGGTCCTCCTGGAGTGCAAGGAGACCGGGGTTTCTCTGGTTTAAAGGGCGAACAAGGTCCTTATGTAAGTATAACTTAAATCCATCAAAGATAAAATAAAAAAATAAAAATATTTTTGCAAATTATAATATAATATTGTATGTAAATTCAGGGTGCTCCAGGCGTGCCAGGTCCGAAAGGTGCGAAAGGAAATATGGGTCTTGGATTCGAAGGGATAAAGGGAGAAAAGGGTGTGAAGGGAGAACAAGGACTTCCGGGTACAACCGCGCCCATTATGCCGTTCGAAGGAACCTCGGAAGTCACGGGTCCGCCTGGAGAACAAGGATTAAGAGGAGACAAAGTACGTAAAGAATATTAATTTCTTTGGATTATTTCAATATTTTCTAATTCGAGTAATATTTAGGGTGAAATGGGACCGGAAGGACAAAAAGGAGAGCCAGGATTTATAGGTGATCATGGCATACCTGGAGGACCAGGCCACAAAGGAGAAAAAGGTCTTCCAGGAGCTCCAGGCATTCGTGTAAGTACACTCTTACTCATAATTAAAAAAAAAGATATTAAATGTTATATATAATATTACATTAACGTAAATAAATATAAATATGTAAATAGTATATAAATATACATTAATGTACAATTCTTTTATCATTAAAAAATAACTTCTTTAAAAATTGATGTTATTATTAGTTAGTTTAAATATAGAATATTATAATATATAAGAATTCTAATATTATATAAAAATAATCTAGCTTTGTTCGATTTTAGGGTAGAGATGGTTTCTCTGGACCTCCTGGGCCTCCTGGACGAAAGGGCGATCGAGGTATTGACGGATTGGAAGGACTTTCTGGACGACCCGGCAAAAAAGGAGAACCCGGCCAGGATGGACCTATGGGAGTTCCAGGATTGCGAGGACCTCCTGGTCCGCCGGGAGTAAATATCATTTTTTAATATTAACTTTACTACATTTTTATTTTTAAAAAATTATACATTTTATTATGCGTTTTTTGAAGATAATAGCAGAAGTTTTTGTTTTTTTTATTTAAAATATTTTACTAAAATGTTTTATTAAAGTTTTATTAAATATCGTGCTGTAGGGCGGTAAAGGAAGGCCGGGACCACCAGGACCGAAAGGACCACGTGGTTTTCCAGGACCTACGGGGCCGCGAGGAACAGATGGTTTTCCGGGAGATCCAGGACCGAGAGGTCCCATAGGTTTGCAAGGAGGCCCTGGTTTACCTGGAATTCCAGGTCCAGAAGGTTTCCCCGGAGAAAAGGGCGGAAAGGGTGAGCCTGGCTTGACCGGATTTCCCGGAGGTCCAGGACCGCGTGGATTCGACGGACCACCCGGACCGGCAGGACCGCGAGGACCGCCAGGAGAGAAGGGATTGTCGATAATGGTATTATATTAATTAATTAATTTTCAAATCAATCGTCAATAAATAAATAAATTAATTAAACTTTTGGTCTAATAATTATTTTAATAATTGATGTATTATTTAAAGAATAAATGATGGTGCATTTTGCGACGTAGGGTCCGAAAGGAATAGATGGAACGCCCGGTTTCGACGGAGAGAAAGGTCAAAAGGGAGAACGAGGTTACGGAGGTGTTCGAGGTCGACCGGGAGATTCTCTGGATGGTATTCCAGGAATTCCGGGTGCACCGGGTGAAAAAGGAGAAGCGGGAGTGGCAGGAAGAGACGGCTTACCGGGTATTCCTGGAGCAATTGGAGAGAAAGGAGATATCGGCGGTCGTTGCATAGATTGTATACCGGGACTGCGAGGCGTTAAAGGAGACCGTGGTGCAGACGGTATTCCAGGACTTACTGGACCTCGAGGACCGCCAGGAGAACGCGGTTTCCCTGGAGAATCCGGCGTCGATGGTTTACCGGGAGCGATTGGACCGCCAGGACCATCAGTATGTTAACAATTTTATTTATTAATTATTTAGACTTTATTTATATTGTTTTGCTAATTATGTGATAATATATAAATATATATTTTATACATTTGAATATATTAAATATATATAATAATGTGCAAGCATATTTTACTCTTTTATACATACGATAAATAACGCAGATTTCTTTGCATTTGAGATCATTTTTTACTTATAATTTCTTATTTGTTTGTAAATTTGAACAAGGAAACATTTGTTTGATTTTAATAAGTTAGATACTTTTTAGATAAAGTTGTATAAAAAATCTAATACGGATTAGTATCATATACATATCAGTATACAAATTACACTGCAACTGTAAATTATTAAATAAAAAAAGTGTATCAATTTTTCAACAAGGGAAAAGATGGTATACCCGGTTCTCCAGGACCTCAAGGTGAGCCTGGAACCCCAGCAACGGTGACATATAATATGCTTAGATTAGAGAAGGGAGATAAAGGAGTGCGCGGAGAACTGGGTCGACAAGGCCCGCCAGGACCAGAAGGACCTGCGGGAGAAAAGGGCAGACCTGGATTCGAAGGTTTTCCGGGACTCAAAGGAACGCCGGTAAGAAATTATTTAATTTTAAAAACATTAGTTATTATTAATTATTTCAATCTAATTTTAACATTAAGTAAAATTAATAATTTAGTTATAGTTAAATTAAAATATTGACTTTAAGAAAGTTATTAATATTCTTCTCAAGAAATTTTTACATATTAAAATATAATCACTTCTAGGGAGATCGAGGGTTTCCTGGACAAGATGGAGTTCCAGGAAGACCGGGCACGCCTGGACGTAAAGGAGAGAAAGGATTAAGTATAAAAGGTGAATCCGGTGAATCAGGTCGACCAGGATCTCCAGGACAAAAGGGAGAACCTGGTTTATATGGCTCTAAAGGAGAACCTGGTAAGAGAGACTTTAATTTGTTAAATTTTCTATAGCTTTAGAATCTTTAATGTTTTCTTAATTATAAAAAAAATATATATATATTACATTATATAAAAATATGCATGTAAATTTGTAAATTTATCTGTAATTAGGTCAATGCCCGCCACTGAACACAATCAAAGGCTTTAAAGGCGATCGTGGTTTAACCGGTGACAAGGGAGAACCTGGATCACCCGGTGAAGATGGATTACCTGGTGATAGAGGATTGCAAGGTTTCTCAGTATGTATATTGATCGACAATATGAAAAAGTTAGTTACGTTAAAGAGTAATTATATTCTTATTTCTGGGTACTTAATAAATAATCACTTTCTTTGAATTAAATACACACGTTTGAATCAATAAGACTTTCAATTAATAGTTTGAACTTTCAATATTAAAGAGATATATAAATAAATGCTAAAATATGTAACAGACAGTTGATAATTATGTCACATATCAAGGAAAAAAAGATAATTTCACTGTATTTAAATTTTTATATGAAAAATTTAAATTTATAAATTTATTTAAATTTAAATTTATTTAATATTTAAATTAAGTAATATAGTTATTATTTAAAAATTAGGGTCCACCTGGTGCAGGCGGTCCTATCGGTGCTCCTGGCCCAGTGGGTCCACGTGGTTTACCAGGTCCGCGCGGTGACAAGGGTAACATGGGGCCGATGGGTTTCCCAGGAGAACCTGGCCGAGAAGGACCTAGAGGTTTCCCGGGCGCTCCGGCTCCGAAGGGTGACAAGGGAGAGCCTGGAATATCAGTCAAGGGTAGTCCTGGTTTAGCAGGTCCTCAGGGTGAAAAGGGAGAGAAAGGCCTGCCTGGACCACCAGGAAAAGAAGGTCCGGATGGCTATCCGGGATTACCAGGTTTTGCTGGCGAGAAAGGAGAGATCGGCGCACCGGGAATAAATGGCTTGCCTGGAGCGTTCGGTGAGAAAGGAGATACCGGTCCAGTCGGCCCACCTGGTCCTCCAGGAGTCGCCGGTCTTCCGGGAACCGACGGAAGCAAAGGCAAGACTTTTATTTTTGCAATTTCGCAAAAATTTTTTTACATTTTTGGCAAAAAAATGTTTTTACTTTATAATAAATTCTTATATAAATAATTTCAAATAAATTCAAAATTCTTATTTATATGACAAATCCATACAAATACAATAAAAAGACTCATATTATAACCATCAAATATAATATATAAGAGAGCGTAGAGAGCCATCGCAGGTTGCAGCGAAAATTTTACATATGGAAATTTATTTATCCACACAGAGACATATTAAATGTACGAGAGAAAAAATATCAGGGCGCGAATGGCTAAATCCCGGCTTTTTCTCTCGCTCTTCCTTCTTTCCTGAAATAATTTCCTTTAATTCGTACATTTTGATTCTCGAAAAATGAAATCAATGTACTTAATTTTCGTACACTTTACGTATCTCGATCTGAGATCGGTGTACATTTAATATGTCTCTATGTAGACAAATAAATTTCCATATGTAAAATTTTCGCTCCAACAACCTGCGATGGCTCTCTATGCTCTCTCTTATATATTATATTTGTTATTTATTTGAATTTATTTATTAGAATAATAAATTGTCTATTTATATTTATTTTATTTAATAATAAGTTGCTATTATTTTATCGTAAAGTAAATAATTTATAAAATTTAATAATGTCACAATTATGTAAAAATTCATTACATACGTATTAATCACAGATATTTAATCTATAGGCGAACCAGGATTACCGGGAGAACCTGGTAGATCGGGTCTTCCTGGATTCCCTGGAGCGAAGGGTGATCGCGGTGAACCAGGTATCGACGGACCAAAAGGATATCCTGGCAGACGAGGTTTGCCTGGTACTCCAGGTAGACCTGGCGTGGATGGTCCATCGGGTATAAAGGGGGAACACGGTGATCAAGGTTCACCAGGATTCCCAGGATTACCGGGTATGGAAGGAAAGCCTGGACGTCCTGGAATATCAGGTCTGAAAGGAGATCAAGGATTGCCTGGCGCGTCAGGTTTACCAGGTCTTATCGGTTACGAAGGAATTAAGGGCGATATTGGTCTACCTGGTCTACCGGTAATATATCTTATTTTTTATATATATTGTACATATTCTATAAATTTGAAAAAAATATATTATTATTAAATATTTAATATTTGATCATGTAATCAGGGAAGAAAAGGAGAGCCGGGTCAAGTTTCGGAAAAAGGACAGAAAGGTGAGCCAGGAATGCCTGGAATACGAGGTCCTCAAGGTCCACCAGGACGCGATGGTATCGATGGAGCGAAAGGTGAGCCTGGCAGACCAGGCATCGGTCGTGATGGATTGCCTGGATTGAAGGGTGAGTCAGGCGCACCAGGTCGGGACGGATTACCAGGCTTGCAAGGCCAAAAAGGTGATACCGGCGTACGAGGATTCCCCGGAATGAAAGGCGATTTGGTAAATTTCCCCTTTTAAATAATAATTGTGATTGAGAAAACTAACATTACAATTATTAACTTTTATTAAAACAATTGTAATGTAAGACACTCTACATATTTTTTACGGAAATTGAAAGAACATTTGATATGCTAAAGAAAAAACAAAAAATATTTACTTTATGCGTTTTTCTTAAAATCATACAATTTTTGTTTAAAATATTTTTCGTATAATGAATAGTTTATGATAGTAATTTGAGGTGATAATTTCAAGTGCCTCATTTTATATAATAAAACATATTTTAAATTGTTTCATAAATTTACATATTTATATCAAAATTATTTAATTTATATGATGTCAATTTTAACAATTTAAAATATTTATTTGTTTTTTTTTTGTTATTCTTAATAGGGTCCATCAGGTGTTTCCGGAGAACCAGGACCACCCGGTATAGATGGCCTTCCTGGAGAAATTGGTGATGTTGGATCACCGGGATCACCTGGTTTCCCTGGACTTGATGGTGAAATAGGTTCTCCTGGACGACCTGGACTTGATGGTGTCAAAGGAGATCGCGGTTTACCAGGTGAGAAAAATATATTCGTTTTTATGCTAATATAATGTTTAATAAAAATAAAAATTTATTTTTTAAAATCAAACAGATAAATATCGCACAATGTATATAAACCGCTCAAGAGCCATCGCAAAGAGATTAAAATGTGCATCACCAATCTCAGATTAAGATACTTAGAGTGTACAAAAATTAAGTACATTGATCTCACAACGGAGAATAAGAATAAATCAGAATAAAAATTTCCTATTTAATTAGTTCTGATTCTCCGTTGTGAGATCAATGTACTTAATTTTCGTACACTCTAAGTATCAATCTGAAATCGTACATTAATGTCTCTTCGTAGATGAATAATTTCTATATATATTTTACATACATTAGTTTTATTTTTTAGTCAACTCAAAATTATCAGACAATGTTATAATAATTAAATGAAATAAATGAAATAAATAAAATTAGTATTTCTAAATTGTATTTTATATCTGATAATAAATTATTCATTTTATACGCAGTTTAATAATGCTCCGTCGATACATGAAAGTTGAGTGTAAAAAAAGTATTTAAATGATGTTAAATAAAATCGAATTTCAGGACTCGTCGGATTGCCTGGCATTCCTGGAGCCTTTGGAGACAAAGGAGATCGCGGCCCTCCGGGACCAACAATACAGATTAAGGGAGAAAAAGGTGAACCAGGTATTCCTGGATTCCCTGGAGGACCAGGTGAGAAAGGAGATCAAGGTCTGCTCGGTATCGCTGGTTACGATGGCGAGAAAGGTGACAGAGGTTTGCCTGGACTCGAAGGAGAACCGGGACCTCATGGTGCCCCTGGACCTAAAGGTATGCTTTCCATTCACATAAAATAATTTCAAATAATAATAAAATAATTTTAAAACAATAATCACGGAATTTTGAAACAAAATATTTGACTACTATTTAAAATATTATCTTCAAATTTTTAAAAATTTTCTATCATATTGTAAATTTTTATTGATATTAATTATTAATTAATTTTTTTACTGCAATTATTTATGAAATATTGTATGTTTAATATAGGCGAACAAGGACCTTCTGGTATTCCTGGCGTTTCTGGAATTACGATAAAGGGCGAGAAGGGTTTGCCTGGTTTACCAGGTAAGCACGGTCGAGACGGTTTTCCAGGACGAATCGGAGAGAAAGGTGAACTAGGATTACCTGGCCTGCCTGGACCGAAAGGAGATGCTGGTCCTTATGGACCGATTGGACCACAAGGAGGAAAAGGAGATCAAGGACCGCCGGGTTTGACCGGACCACCAGGACGCGACGGAGCTCCAGGTCTTGCAGGCGTACCAGGATTTACTGGAGATAAAGGTTCGAAGGGTGATCAAGGACTGCCTGGATTGTACGGCGCCCCAGGACAGAAAGGAGAATCCGGTCCGCCAGGTACTGAATATTATTTTACTTTTTCTTAAATTTTGATTAATTAAAAATATTGTAATTTCGAAACTTATTGAATATTATTTTTACCTTTTGTTGAAATTTCTGTTGACTGAAAATATTGTAATTTCGAGAATTAATTAAAATAATAATAATATATTGATTTGTTGATTTTTAGGACCGAATGGATTGGATGGACCTCCAGGAGAGAGAGGCGAGCGCGGTTGGGACGGAGTGAATGGTCTACCTGGACCAGTTGGCGAGAAAGGTGATAGAGGTTATCCTGGTGCAGTTGGATTGGCGGGTATTATTGGTTACGCAGGTCTGAAAGGAGACAAAGGTGACGACTGTATCGAGCCGCCGATGGGACCTAAAGGCGATCGCGGATATCCTGGTATGTTTTACGATAAATGTTACATATATGCAAAAATTTGACACTTCTTAAAATAAATTATAAAATATAAATTACTGCGTTGAAAATATAGCTGATAATGCAATATGTATAAATGTCTTTGAAAATTCGGTATCAAAAATATAAAATATAATTTTTATATTATATTTTCTTATTTCAATTGTGTTAACGCACGATGTATCTAAAATTATAAAAACAAATTTCTTTGCAGGACCGGCTGGCCCGCCTGGCCCGTCAGGAGAAAAAGGACTTCCAGGTCCGCCTGGCTTCCCCGGCTTAGACGGTATCAAAGGCGCTCAAGGTTTCATCGGTCCAGCAGGACCTCCCGGATTACCGGGATTACCGGGACCAGTCGGTGCGTCCGGTCTGCCGGGTCTTCAAGGTCCTGTCGGTTCGCCAGGACTTATCGGTGAGCCCGGCGCGCCCTGCGAAACGACGCCTGATTATCTTACCGGTATCTTGCTGGTCAAGCATAGTCAAAGTCAAAGCGTGCCAGTTTGCGAGGCTGGCCACATCAAGCTTTGGGAAGGATACAGTTTACTCTACACCGATGGCGATGAAAGAGCGCATTCTCAAGACTTAGGTAAGCTATTTGTCATATATTGTTCACATATCTCTTATTCGAAGTAACATTTTATTTATTTAAATCGTGTTCAGCAATATGATTTTAATCTGATTGGAAAATAACTGCGAAGCGCTGCTACAATGAAAAAGCAGTCTTAAAAATTATATTTTAGGAATTTTTTCGTTTTACATTTCACATATATTTGCTAAAAGAAAATATTGCCTAAAAAGTCCTTCTGATTTTTATTATTATAATTATTTTAATTTGTATTTAAAACATAACCTTCTGACCTGAATTTTCCGTGGATGCAATTTAGCAAAGATTTAGTGGATTGGTGTGATTAATCGCGATTATTCGGATTAAATTGTCATAGCTGGTATTTGAGCATTAATAGGCATTTAAATTTATTATTTAGCGAATTTATATGCATCGCGCCACATATTTTCGCGCAATTATTAGCACATTTATTAGCAAGTTGATGCGTATTTGTGCTCCATAAAGCGAGTCACGGCTGTTTTTTTTCTTCTGCATCGAGTCACGATTATACAAAATGATAACATTTATGAATGTCAAGTCGATACGACACGCATGATTAATTTCTTTTTTTTTCATTTTTTGCCAACTGATCTAAGTCGTCTTATAAATTATCGCAAAACAGGTTACGCCGGCTCGTGCGTAAGAAAGTTCTCGACAATACCTTTCTTGTTCTGCGACGTCAACAACGTCTGTCAGTACGCTAGTCGCAATGATCGTTCTTATTGGTTATCGACTAATAGTCCAATTCCCATGATGCCTGTCGAAGAGACGGCGATAGAAGAATACATCTCCAGGTACGTTTACGATATTCATTATGCATGCTGTATCCCGCTGAAATTTTTGCCGCGAGCATAAAGAGTTCTGCATTCCTTTGAAAAGGATAATTATAGAAGATTCAGAATAAAACCGGATATTCTTGCAGCCACAGATATCAAATTCAGAATCGAATTTCTTTAGCAAAATTTCGTAAAGAAATATTTAATTTTCATTATTCTTCTTAATAACTATTTGTCTTACTAATTTTATTTCTTTTTCTATCTTAAATATCTCTCAACAAGCAATTAAACTTCTTCAACTTGCGTTGAATTTATGTTAAGAAAAACTCTAGTTAAAACAATGTTTTGTTAGGTTTCTACAACTTCAATATTTAATTCTTGAATGCTTGTTTTTCATTTTTGATGTTGTTAAAGCGCAATGAATAGACATTATGAAATGTATATCAACATTCGTAAGATTCTACAACATTAACATAACTAATGTATTACTGAGAACGGCGCAAAGAAGCAAAGTTAATATTTCCATATTGAAATCGAATTCCTATGTGCAGCCGTATTCCCGTCAATTATGTAAAACGTCACTTTTTTTCTGCGTATAAAAAATTTTGATTAATACGCATTTTTCTGAATATTATGCGATGTTTACAGAACAGTTTACAGATTTATCAGATTTATCGAGTAATAATTTTGCAATTTTTGCGGCAGGTGCGTGGTGTGCGAAGTTCCGGCTAATGTGATAGCAGTACACAGTCAATCGATAAGCATTCCAGAATGTCCGGCAGGATGGACCGGTCTTTGGATCGGTTATAGTTTTGTTATGGTAAGTAACTTTTTACACACCGCGCAATATTGTAACGCAAGGCGACTTCATATTTTGCAGTTAATATTGATTTCTGATGAAAAAAGTAGCATAATTTTTCACTTCTAAATAACAAAGTTATTAACATTTATGCAAATTTTGAAAATATAAAAAAATATAGAAGACAGAACATTGGCAAATAAATTACGCCAGAGTTTGAAAAACAACAGATAATATTTTCACATAAAATTACGTTTCTACATTTTCTATATTTATTATCATTATTTCTCTACTGAATTCTCGTTTGAGTTCGGAATTCGCTTTGTATTCAGTTCACTGTAAGTGAGATCAATCATGTCCGAAAAGTAAACTTTCATCACTACGGGTTGTCAGAAAGACAAAGATTGTCTCTGCAGAAAGAGATCCATTTTATTCGAGACGTCCTCTCTTCATCAAGGTTTCTCATCGTTTCATCAATGATATTTAAGTAGTTAAGAGGACGGAATTATTTCACTCATTATTTTTCATTAATTCAATTACATTAAAGAGGGGGAAAAAATTAGATAAAATTTAAAAAATATATATACAGATTTGGCGCGCTTGGTTCTCAACGAGAGAAATTGAGTATTCAAATACATATTGAGCAAAATTCTTTGCGATCGTTTCAGCACACCGGCGCAGGTTCTCAGGGCGGTGGTCAGTCCCTGTCGAGTCCTGGTTCCTGCCTCGAGGACTTCCGCGCCACACCGTTCATCGAGTGCAACGGCGCCAAAGGACACTGCCATTACTATTCTAATCAGTACAGCTTCTGGATGGTGACCATAGAAGATGGCCAGCAGTTCAGAAGCCCCGAGAAACAAACTCTAAAGGCGGGCAATCTTAGGTCCCGAATAAGTCGCTGCCAAGTTTGTATAAAGAATACGTAAAACACACGCGCCACTGTTATACGCAGAAAAAGACACACGCATACACACACAAACATAAACACACATACACACACACACACACACACACACACACGTACACAGTACACTTCTTTTTCCTCTTTCTTTTTTACACGAGAAGCGAAACTGTCATTACGAGTATAAACAAGCAGTGTTTGAAACCGATTGCAATTCCGCCGAGTTCAGATCGCGAGAGACCGGAGATACGCGAAAACGATCTCCACGATTTTATTCGAGACAATGAATGCGCATGTTCGTCGCATCCCCGCGGCATGGAACATCGAACTCGTCGGAATAGCGCCGGGAGTCGATCCCTGATAACAAGGAAGAAAAGAGCGATAACGTCTCGCGATGGAGCGACGGAACGGAAGTTTGCAGGACTCGCGCTCGATCCGTGCCGGCGACATCGAAATAAAGTGAACGACGCGTCCTTCTTTCTTGTGATTCCCTCTGCCGGGTGTGTTCCGCAACCGCGTCTTGTCTTCATTATTTCCTGCCCCCTCGCCCCTCACCGTCTACGTTTTGTCCTGGATAACTTCTTTTCCCGAGAGCCACTCTCCTCGCTCGTTACCCGCTCTTTTATCTTCCCCCGTGAGCGCGCTTCTTTCTTTCTTCCGCCATATGTGTTTTTTTTCTCTCTCTCTCTTTTTTTATTTTATTCTATGTATAACTATTCAAGCAAGTGCCTTTAGCGTACTACTCTAGCATGTAAAATAATATATATTTATATCTCGTATGAATCTCGTATTGAAGTCTAAGGTTATCGTACTACCACGGACACTGCCCATATCCAATATGGCACATTTACATATTGTATATTAATATAAACGATCTTAGCCTGGTAATCGTGTGACGCCAAATATTTAAATAAATAGGTATTTTGCTACGTAGCTAATAAAATTCTATTTTCAAACCTCACCAATTTGCTTGTTCTGTGACACGATCCTGAATCATGCGTATGAAGCGCGATTTTTGCATGTGCATTTGTAACGACGCATATAATTGTTTCGAAGCGACGTGACAGAAGAGCACAAATTTTCTTCCGCTCCGATCTATTAATTTTATACGAGAGTATTTTGCAAAAAAAAAAGAGATGACTTGACCCGTATTATATACTGTTATACACGTCCTTTACACAGTTTAATTAAAAAATGCAGAGAAAAGTGTACTTTAACAATCCTACTCGTAGAAAACGTTTTCTCGAGTTCCTTTTTCCACAGTACATAATTACTTCAAGACTTTAATTGAATCCGGAGAGGAACGTTTCACGCAGAGTGTCCATTTTATCGCGAGAATAAGAGAGGAATTTATTTCCGCTAATCACTACTGTTAGCGTAATTTATTTTCTCGTATATTCTTTAATATAATCGACGTATATAAAAATTGATGAAGGTGCGAAGTATATATAAGATGGTTCGTAAAAGACGCAAACAGATGACAATTTCTGTCGAATTTCGATCAATCTCTCTCACAAAAAATTTGTATCTGCAGAGCAAATTTAGATCTATAGAGCAATATTTAGCATTTATTAGAATCAAGAACTGATTTTATGATTTCTGTCAAGTGCCATAATTGTAAGTATAATTTTATAATTAAAGTTTCAATTTTTGTTGAATACGCGATATAAGAATAGTTTGCAATCAATTTTCGGCCAAATTTACAGTAAATTTATTAAAGGATTTTGAAATTACAAATTTTATTCCAAGTCTAATTGTGTGTGTTTTACACCCTGTAAAATATTGTACTTTATTTTCTTGCGAGAAAACTGTCATCCACGATTTTTCACGACAATTTCACGTGTACAAACCTTGTTATAGTGATCTGTTTTTCAAAAAACAAAATCGCTTGTGCACTCACATCTTTAATGTTCCAAAGAAAACGTTCTAAAACGCTCATAGATTTTCGTAAGACATTGATTATAAAATTAATGCAAGTTAAAAGTGGTTAAATCAACTGTTCAATCTCTAATTATTGTAGCAAGAAGTGTTTTAAAAATATTTTATAATTTTTCAGAGAAAATATTTCTTCTTATTTCCAATCTTTCTATTTACTAATTCATCAAGAAATTTCGATAAGATAATTTTAGTACAGCGGTGAGATCAATACAAAATTTAACACTTCTGCCGCTTCTGCTGCTTTTATGAAAATTAACTTGGTACTTGGATTAATGTGGATAATTGAACATCGTATATCAATTAAAATCTAATAGTCTTCAAAAGCAAAGATCGTTAATGTAAAATTGATATTTTGTATAATTACTCGTAATAGATAAGAGATTAAAAAAAATTAATATATAAAAATTTTAGAAAATATTGCAAGAAATTTGCATACACACATACACATATATTTTTCTCCACATCATATTTTCAGAAAATAAAATTAATATTTTCTACATCTAGGAGGCTAATTTATCCGGAGATTGCTAATTCTTAAATTTCGATCAAAGTACAAATGCGAAAGTGAATAAAGCGAATATGCGCTGCGTATTTTTCCTTTGCAGCGGTCGACTGATTCATTAACATATGTTTTCTTTTTACGCGCTACAGCACCGCCTCTCACTCGTGTTTGTAACGCCACGGCGTTTCGATCAGGTATGAACAGACGGCTCGTTGAATGGTACGAGGATTGAATCGGAACGGAACACAATGCTACGCCCGTAATGCACGCGGAGCTTGCACTCTTCCGCGAGCTTCCGTCGAGATACTGCGACATTTCCTCGTGTATACATCAAGTCGGTTCCCGGACGGTATTTCGAGTGCTGCAGAACACGATACGCGACACGCAAAAGGCATACGGCTGCAATGTTCGAATTTATTCTTGAAATATATGGCCTTTGTCGCATGCATTTCTGTCGTTGCTCGTTCAACTTTTTACATTTGCTTTTGCATTCATATCGTTACATATTGTACATCTATTCCTTATAAAAATATAACAAAACTTCTTTTTACAAGAAATCGCTCATGACGGGAAACAAATACGACGATGCGTGGAGAGTTGTGTTGTTCACAATCTTATTACGATCGAATCACGTTTGTAATGCTGTTTGTTGTTATCACGGCAGAAAATCAAGCGATGCATATGTAACAAACATTATATCATCGATAACATTGCGTTAACAGATGCAAATTTGCGACAGTGGAAATGTGACGCCAATTAATGTGTGTAGCATGTTACATGTTTACCGCTAAGGTGGAATTCAAATAATGTTACAATATTATGACGCGGAGAAGTTGTGGGACACCACACCGGACGTGCGACTCAACGTTGAAAACACGTTGAGTCGCAGAACTCATGAATATGACGAATAATTTCGCTGACAAGAACTGTTACGTCAGTTTATCTGGCAACGATACGGGCGGAGGACACTTTTGACGGAAACGCTGTCAACAAGTCTTTTTGGGGTCAACATGCTCGACATAGCGACGAGCCTCCAAAGAAGAACCAACTACGCTTTAAGAAATTGAAATAATGAATATTCATTCAACTTCTCCTTGTGTAAAAGATTTTAAGTAGGAAAAGGCTGATGCAGCACGCGTGGCGTGATGTAGAAAAATATTACCTAACGTCTGAATTAATCAGAATGAATAAACAGAAATACATGAGTTTTAAACAAAGAATTTCTCAAATTCATGAATATACAAAAATGATTTTATTTCGTTGCTTTTATATTCGTTCATAGCCAAACTCTCGGTTACATTCCGTGATAAAATTTTCAAAGTAAATTATCATTATTAAAATTTGATCGTAGTATTCGGTTGCAGTTTGCAGCAAAACTTAATAAAGAAAATATTTGGTAAAAACTATACAAAAATTGCCTGCGGAATAAAACTTTGTTAAGGCTGTCGCAAAATTGTAGCACAAAAATGCTACCAATTTCTACGAACATATAGTCACTGTTAATGTTTAAATTTGAGTTTTAACAATTGAAATAAATCTTTATTTATTTAAAAGATTTATTATAAAGAATAAAAACTTATTTTCAATAAAAGCAATGCTTATATGTGATATTTCGTATTATTATATTCTGTATATTAAAAAAAATAATATTTGATATATGTCCTACTTTTATTTAGTATTTTTAATCTATAAAATAGCGTGCAAATAAAACAATTCCAAAACTTTGATAAAAACATGTCAAAGTTTTTAATTTTAAGTTAATGTGTAAACTTTTATATCTCATGTTTTTATTTTACGTTGGAGTAATACTATTGCTCCATCACGTTACTCCCTACTTAAGATTCTCGTCATGAGAAAAAGTCCGATATATCTCAGTATCGACTGATGGCGCAGTAAGAAAGTTTACGAGGGAACCTCAAAGAGTAAAGCTAGGAAAGGTGTCCGTCGTAGAGGAATCTTGCTAAGGCCAATGTGTTTAGCATGACAAGCAGTCGAGCCTCCAACGAAAGAAGCCTTGGTTCGACATATGTGACGTATTCTGTAAAATAGAGTCGCGGAACGTGAAATTCCATCTTTTGGCCCAGTCCCGGCACCGCGGTAAAGTTTGACAACACGAAACCGGCGTCACAGCATTCCTCTCGAAATTCTGAAAGGAGGAAAAGTTTCCAGCGCGTTTTAACATTATCTGGTAATTTTTGTCTCTTTTTAAATTTATTGTAAAAAACAAAAGCAAAAAAAAAAAATTAAAAATAGAATAAAAATAAAATTTCGCGATTTTTCTTTCTTATAAATAAATTTTGTGCAAATAATGCGAATGTACAAATAATGTGTGTCTGTCATTAATAAATTTATTAAAGTATTACTATATTATTAATTAAAGAATTTAATTATTACACAAGATGGCGATAAATTTGTGTCTGTACTGCATGTAAAAAGATTCTTTAATTACTTCAAAGTAACCCTATAATTTTCATTTAATAATAATAATAGCTTTGTAAGTTATATATAATTATTAGGTATTTTATAACATAGAATTTTTAATATATATATTTAAATGGTTTTAATTTATTTCCTATATTTATACTATGTATTTTTAATATTTCGTACTTTTGATAATAAAACAAAAATTTATTCTTTTCACAAAAAATTATTTGCTAACGAAAGTATTAATAAAGAATATAGGAACGTTGATTAAATGTTCAATATAAAAAATTAACCAAAAAAGATAATATTTGATATATTTTTAATGTATAAAATAACGTGTAAATATGGGAATTTCCAAGCATTGAAAACATGTTAAAACTTTTAATTTTAAGTTAACGTGAAAATTTTTAACGCGTAATGTGGATTATAAAAGCTTTTTCCTTTTAATTGTTATACAGTTAAACTATATGTAAGTATAAGAATCTTTTTAATATTGTGTTTTTTTGTTCTGTCGATTTAGACGATTTATTTTCGTTCGAAACTCGATTTAAACTTACATCACAACTGGAAGAAACAAATAGACAATGATATGTCAAACGTGTTCGAAATACGATTGAATCGTATTTAGGGCACTTTTAAAATGTCAAATGGACACCTCAAGCATCTTTACTAGATGCGCTTTTCCTTTGTTAGCAAATCGAGCAAAACGTTTGGCCAATGCCGAGAAATTTATTCGAGATTTATCTTCTATCGAGAGCAATTTACATGCACCTGCGTATTTTTTCGTGCGCGCGCGCGAAGGAGTGTTACTTTTATTCGTCACAAATCAACCGCAATTGCTACTTTGTCCGAAGGTCTTCGTGCTTTCAAGTTTTTCACGTCGAGTAAATCATTCCGCTTTACTTTATTGTAGGAGCCACCATATATTGCGATAAATGTCCTACAAATTCTAGATATTCGTCTGTTGTACGTAGAAACTTGCTGAACATATTTCGTACGCATTTTTCTCAAGCTTTCAGTATGATGTATGGTGAACCTGGACTTCGAAACTTGAATTTCGTCTTTGAGCTCATATAAAAAAATAATAATAAAGTTTAGTTTTATTTTTTTGCTTCTACACTGTCTTACTCGATCATTTTTGTCTGATTTTTCGCGGATGAAAATCTCATTTCTGCGCCTAATTTATTTATTTATCGGTATTCGTCAAACGTACGAATACCGATACAACAAATGGAACGCTGCATTAAACTCAATATAATCTCAATTAAACTCAATTAACGAGCAAACGCATGTTTGCAACGTCGTAGTCGTTGGACCGTTCGCAACGCTCGAATAATCCTCGACTGTAACTCGAAGTAAACAGTTACAAGGTATATAATTGCATAAACATTAGCGAGACGCAGCAAAATAGGACCGACGGAGTTAAGACTCTACACATTCTAAACCGGGTGGCGCGACAGAGACGGAAGCGGAAAGAGCGACGGAGACGGAGATGCGTTCTGTTTGTTCCTGCGTGGACGACAGCGATAGCGAAGTCGCTCGGGGCGCTCGTTTTCTACGTCAGCAGGGAATCCATTTAATTAATTATGAAAGAAGGTGTGGTGCCGAACGGACCAATCCGACCGGTTCGTTTGTCCTCCAGCCTCCGTGGAACATTTCGATTATTAGCGCGCTGTCACGATCGGGGCTCAGTGATAGAAATCTAGCCGCACGAGAACGGTCGATTGCGAGCACCAGGTAAGCATCCGCCAACTGAGAAGCACACACGCGTCTCGTTGGAGAATACACGCACGGCTGCTAATCATTTACGGGAAGATTCAGCGAGTGAAGCCTTCAAGGGGCGAGCTACGAGATGTCTGTACCCAGTTTTCGTGAATGTTGGAACGTTTGCGCCTCCAACATCGCCAAGAGAACACATAATCCGATTAGATCGATTGTGGAGAACATCGTCGTCGAACCAAATCCTAATAAGCCGATGATTGCGTTGTCTATTGGTAAGTTCACGTGTAACAATCATCTCATTATGAATTATGTGGTAATACTTGTTCTCCTCTTTCAGTTATTCCTTGCATCCTATTATTGATTTTGATGGAAATAAATTTCATCTGACCATTATTTATCTATTAAAAATTATCAATTTTTTACAGAAATTGCGTAAATGTTATTATGAATGTTTTAGAAAAAAAACACCATTAAATATTTTTTATAGTAGAAAAGTATAAATTAATAATTGTAATCAGGAATAATTATAAAAAAATATTAATATCAATTTGTCACAATAATTTAATAAAAATAAAAACAGTTTTGCCGTAAGCAAATCGTGTAAAAATTAAATTAAATGTGGACACGCAAAAATGTGGTCGAGATATTTTGTAATCTGTGCACTTGATTATTATTAATTACTATTGTTAATAATATTCAATTATTATTGCGTGACTTAAAAATCTTTCTAGTAATGCGAATCTTTATTTGAACCTTGTCGTGATTTTTCTAATTTCCACGTCTTTACGACAAGAGATAAAAAGTGGAAAATTACGAATCATTTATCGCAACGGTGTAATCAAGCGGTTGTTTTTTTTTGCACGGGGCAAAGGATGGCAAGACCGATCATTTTCCGTTGAGGAAAGAAAGGGGAGGGTTGTACGTCGTCCTTTACTACAAAAGCTGCGCGGAGATAAGCGCAATGTGCGTGTCCAGGCAAAATTACAATGTAGCCTGCCTTTAGTTTCGCTAATGTATGAAATGATGCTGTAATTAAAGGGCACTTGATGTATATCGCGTCGTGCTTTCGTAGCATTCTGCTGCGAAATTGCCGCTTATACTTAAAACTCGCTATACAAAATATAGCGATCGAATGCAGAAGATGTATGAATAAAGTCATTACTCCTATTCATTTCACTCGCGGCGCTTTGTAGAAGAACAAATAGAGGGCCACCTACAAAGGCTCTACGCCGGCTTTGCCGGTAAACGCGAGTAAATGCATACAAATTGCAAACTCTCGCTGTTTCCCGCGAGTACGATCGATCCTCAATATGCATGGAGCCCTAGCCATTGATGTGAAAAAGTTTAATGGATCGATGAAAAATGAAAGGTCAGATATCCCGCGCGAAGAAAAATCGCATTTTGATTTACTCCGGCGATGCGAATCGGTAATTAAATTCGCGATAGTCGCCGACGGCCGGCCGCTTTCGGAATATCTGGATTGCAATTGTCACCTTTTGCCGGGCTGAAAAGTGCGCGACGATGATAAAGTAAGAAGGAAAGGTACTCACCGCCCGTTCAACTCCATTCGTCCGGTTCCGTTTTCGTTTATGGAAAGGTGCCGTTCATCGCGCTAAACTGCGTGTCGAAGACATAAATAATTCCTGCAACAAATTTGAAGTAACAGCTGTGAGTTATCTTTCGATAAAGATTAGGGCTGCTTAAAAAGAAATAAATTTCCTCGTATTCGTTCTAACATGTGTTATACTTTGCTTTAACTTTTCTCTGAAATCTGGTCAACAAACCGGAGTTAGCTTTGTCGCAGGAGAGAATCTCCGAGATTCTCTCGGACGTATCGCGACTTAATACCCAGTTCGCTCTGGAAAATATCGGTACGCAAACACGCGGCGCAAGATAGACAATATTTCGTTTGCCGACTCCGCCGTATTTCTAGAAGAAACAACTTTTTCGAAGGTTTATCGGATAAGAGCTTCTCCGAGCGGTAAAACAATTTCAATATAGTTGGCTCGATCGCTCGATCACATTCCCGCGACGTCTATTATTTAAAGAAGAAAGAAATGCTGCTTAAGGTATTAGAGATTTTTCCATGCTCGGCAATTTCGTTAAATCAAACTTATCTAATAACGAGAAAATCTTCAACAAAACAATAAACTAGGACGTGTTTTTTATTTAAATTAGTATTTCTCAAAAATATTTCTTTGAAAAACTGACAATAGGAAAGAGAAAGAGACTGGAAAATTATCACGAGAAATTATGTACGTCAAACTAAAGAATTTTTGCCTAAAGATCAGAGTTAATAGTGTGTTCTGTTTTTATTAATTTCTTCAACTTCTTTAATTCCTCAGAGAGAAAGTTCTCGAACTTCCTATGTTGGGATTTTAACTATCCGGCACAGAGAGTTTTATAAGCGGTAAAAAGTTAAAAGACAGTGGTAGTGATGCGTGAGTCCCCTTAACATTTGCAACGTACGAGTGGTGCAAAATGCGGATGTGTCAGAATGTATCGGAAAAATGTCCAAAGTGCAGTCCTCAGCAAATTTTATAGCGGAATAGAATAGAACTGACACACGAGTACGCTAATCTAAATATATTTCGATACAAATCCCGCCTGAATGTGCCAACGGCTGTAAACATTTTCAAGAGCTTTCTTTTATTCTATACATATGCAATTCGTAGAAGATTACAATGTTAAAAACGAAATGGTAATGTTACAAAATTCTCCGAAAAATACTGCGTTTTTTTATAAAGATGAGAAAACGAGGGAAACAATATTAAAAGAAAATTATCGCGACGAGATTCTTTTAGAATATTGCATTCTTTTAGGAAAAATAAATTCCGAAGAATTTTTGTAATAATTCGATAAATAAGAGTTTTTTTTAGAATTTTTTACATCGAGAAATACGTTGCGATGCATATGTTTCGTTGTTTTCGATAAAGTGTTTCGTATATGGCTTCGTTCCAAAATATCCCGAAACTGTAAGTTTCATAATATGCTGAAAACAGCAATAAAAAGAAAGAAATTTTATTATATTTTCTTCTCTCTTATCAAGATAAGAACGTACATATTAAATTTCATATTAATTTTTTACATTTACATGTACATATGTATTAATTTTTTAAAAAGATTTTTTTTCACTGCTGAGTACTTTTTTCATTTAGTATCAGACGAAATTTGTGTTACCGTACAAAAGTTATGTAACACATGTGTACTGGTGAAAATTAATAAAAGTAATTATTCGAGAATTTCAAACTCGAGACGCTGTCGTATGTGTATGTAATGTGTAATTAATAATTTGCCGAACTGATTGACATGAACTACAATAGAACCATGAAGTATAATCGGAAAATATTAATGTTGTCGAAACACAATCCTCTTCGATTAACAGCGGCGAAGTTGTAATTGTGCAAATTTCGCGACACTCGCGGAGTTCAACTTTTATTTCGCCGACACGCTGCCATTTCGCAATAGAAATTTTGTAACAAGAATCGACTACAGCGGGCAACCTCCAGGAAACAATTAATTAATTCCAATTATATCGAGAATATGTGCGAGTCGAGTGGCGGGTATTACACGGTTTTGTTACACTTTGACAACGCGTCTGTAAACAGCGTTTTCCTACGCTAGTTTGAATTCAGTAATCAATTACAACGACATGTATACGTGTAATTAGATGTTTACGCGAAATTGTGGCAAATGTTTGGCAGAGAACCAGATTTATGCAATTAGCGGCTTGTGTACCCATAATCGCGCGATAATCAATAAATTAATACCCGGCGGTGTTTTTAAAATCGAATTTTAAGCCTCTATCGTTTCAAGGTGACCCTACAACTTTCGGCAATCTGAAGCCACCGCAGGAAGTAATCGAGGCTGTTCAAGAGAGCGTCGCTTCGCAATTATACAACGGATATGCGCCGAGCACAGGTAATTTGTAATTCTAAGATCGGCAGATGTAGCTAAATTGTTTTGCGCTGCAAATCTCGTTCAATTTAAAGTAAGCTCTGAAATATGAGGGAAATGATAAAAAACAGATTTGTTAACAGCTAATGCATAAATTACATTACACTCCAATTTTCCGAATAATAATAGATATTATTATAATAGATAAATCATTGCATTGTGATAAGTTATTTAAATAACACCGTAAATAATTAATCATTACGTAAACGTGTGTAATATATCTGTTCGCTTTACACAATGAATTATTAATTACACGTGATTTATTAGATGTTACATTACGGGTTGAGCGATTATATTCATTCAGCAATGTAGAAAGTTCATTTTTACTTATTATTTTCACAGGTCATCAAAGGGCACGAGAAGCCGTGGCGGAATACAGCTCGAACGAATTTGTGAAGGTTGACGCCAAGGTATGTGAAATGGATGAACATGTGCCCATATCGAATGTCGATGGCAGAATAGCCAACACGTGTTGTGAACAAATTTGAGGTCATCGATATACAGAGACTTCTTGTCATACGTAAACGAAATTGTTCTTCATTTATTCAACGATGACATTATTATTATTTATTCAACGACGGACCAAATTACGGAATTGAATATTAACAACAAGTTTCGAACAAATGTTATAAATTGCTTTCAGCTGCGATAAAAAAAATGACATTGATGTAATTGGAGACAATTTTCGTGACAAGATCGAAGCAATACTCGTGCAATTTCGAAGATGATTGATTAATTCGGCAAAATTTCATGAGATGGAAATTGCAGATATGGAAAAAGAGATACATAATGTTGTCGGCAAATGAATAAATCAGTTTGTAATGCAAACAATCTTTTTTATCAGTACATAAATCAAACGTTTTGGTCAGCATCTGACCATCTTCACAGTGTAATACAATCAAATAAAGCTATTGTCCATTAAAACGATTGAGGTCAAACTGTGAAATCGTTAGTGATTCATCGTGCAAGATGTTATACTTAGTTAAATAAATTAACTTACTATAAGGCGGAATACAGCTCGAACGAATTTATGAAGGTTGATGTCAAGGTATGCGAAATGGATGGACACGTGTCCACATCGAATGTTGGTGGCAGAATAGCCAACGCGTGTTGTGAATAAACTTTAGGTCATCGATACGCAAAAACTTGTCACATTAAATTAAATAGTTCTTTTATACT